CTGGGCCTGAATCGGCCATTACTTTCTTACTGAACCCTGGATCCCAGCTTTGCTCCTCTCTCTGGTCCTTCAGTGAGATTCAATACTTGCTGGCACTGGGAGCTACTAAACGTGCGAAAGCGACTAGCTTAAGAGTTCATCACATCTTGGACATCACCTAAACCTATCCATCCCACACCTCCATCCAGAAAAGGAAAAGAAAGAGGAAAAACAAGGCAACCAATTATTTCCAGTCACCATCCTTCTGGCCCGAAACAAAGACCACTGAGCTTTGCTTTCCTGGCAGTTATGGCCACTTCACTAAAGATCTGAACAGGTTAACTGACACGACCAGGTCTGTTTTCCACTGGTCCCCTTTCGCCAGCACCTCTGTGTCCCACTTTCCAAGTAATTAATCAACCAACTCAGCCTAGCCTGAAAAGAGCAGGAGAGAAAGATGAAAAGACCACTGGCAGCCCCATGGGACCTAGGCAGTAATGCTTCTCTTAGTTTACAGGAATCATGGGCCGTCTGGAGACCTATGAACAACAAGGCGGCCACTTTGGGAGACGACTTGCAAGAATTAACGACCTCTCAGAAACGCCATGGAAGCCCTTGCATCGGCCACCCTCGCCAAGATGTAAAAGGAAAAAGTCCTCCATTTTTCCATCCGCCCCGCTTGATGCCAGGGCAGATCTTTCCCTGCCAGTGTCTCCCCGGTGCAAGGCAGCAGCGGGACGAGGTTTTGCGTGGACTCAAAACTCTATCAAGACCCTCGCCACCTCCTCCCCCATCTTCCCGAGCTGCAGTTGAGCGGCAGGCTCCGGGTCCTCGCCCGTTTTGCCTGCCACGCGGTCGGCGGCCTCGAGGCCGGTGGGAACTACAACTCCCAGGATCCTTCGCGGGGCGGGAGGAAGGCGGAGGAGGGGGGCGGTTGGGGGAGGGAGCGTACAAAGCGGCGTTGGAAGCTAGCGGTAGCGAGGCCGCGCTCGGGGGTCTAGCGGCTCAGCGTCCCCGCGGCCGGAGGCGTCATCTAGCGTGGGCGCTCACGCAGGGTGGGTCGCGCGGCGCAGGGCGAGAGGGAAGTCGTGGCGGCGGCGTCGGGAACAGCAGCAGCGGCGGGAGCGTGGTGCTGACAGGCCGTGGGGAGACATGGGAGACCCAGGGCCGGAGGTGAGTGGTGGCGGCCCGGGCCTTGGCTCAGCCGAGCCCGACCCCCCGAAGGGTTTGTCTGCTAGGCCGAGGGCCCCCAGCCGGGCCGCGGCCTGGGGCGATGGCCGGGCCTCGGGGCCTGGTGCACGTCTGCGTGGAGCCCTCAACAATGGCGGTCCGGGCCGCCCTGGCTGTGGCCGCCGCGGCCCCCAGGGGTGAGGGACGACTCGAGGCTGGCTGTCCTTGCTTGATGTACAGCCTGATCCCCGAGGTGGAGAGAGCCTGCATCCCTGCCCCTGGAGAAGGCGGGGAGGGGAATGGTGGCAACTCGCCCGGGAGGCTAGGTCTCTCTGCAGCTCCAAGACGCCTTAGCAAAAAAAAAAAAAAAAAAA